GATTCCACTCTATAAATGTAATGGATAAAATAGCCTGATTCCACTCTATAAATGTAATGGATAAAATAGCCTGATTCCACTCTATAAATGTACTGGTTGAAATAGCCTGATTCCACTCTATAAATGTAATGGATAAAATAGCCTGATTCCACTCTATAAATGTAATGGATAAAATAGCCTGATTCCACTCTATAAATGTACTGGATGGAATCATGCTATTTTATCCATTACATTTATAGAGTGGAATCAGGCTATTTCAACCTATATATATGTAATTTTCTTTTCATTAGAATGTTTAAGATATTTAAAAAATTATTATATTTTGGAACTAATTATTAATGACATAATTTTTATGAATAATTAACAAATTTTTAGCCAAGCATTTTTTCACAGGTTAAGAGATATAAAGTGACATGTTTAATGTATATGATTTGTTTACTTAATGTAAAAAAAACTTGACAGCTAAGATTTCACTATATTAAGTTTTTTGTTTGTTACAGTTTATTCTATCACTTAAAATGAGTGTAAGAGGATCATGAGGTAAATGAATACCGAATGTAACAAAACTGAAACAATTGATAAGGTTTCATAAAATGATGTAGGTTTTGGGATCAATTTACAATAAAGAAATGAAATAAAGCTGTTTTTTTTTCTGTTTAATATTATGAGTACATGCAAACCTTGTGGATATTTCAGACTAGGAACATTGACTTCAAAAGTAGTGAATAAAGCCTAAGTCATGAAAGTCTTAACACTCAAGACAAAGTTGTCATTTTGTATTTTCCCATTTTGGTTCTATATATTGTAAATACAATATTATTTCTTATAGTTGATATTTCCAGAATTACAATTGTTGTTAGTGGCAGAGGATTTAGAGCATCACAAGTACATGAAATATACTATTTTTTTTTTAAATCTTGGTAATGATAATTAGCTTTACTTATTACGACCCCCTGTACATGAAATATACTATTTTTTTTAAATCTTGGTAATGGTAATTAGCTTTACTTATTACGACCCCTGTACATGAAATATAGTATTTTTTATAAATCTTGGTAATGGTAATTAGCTTTACTATTTTTTATAAATCTTGGTAATGGTAATTAGCTTTACTTATTACAACACCTGGTGGCTCAGCAGTAAGTTTCAAGGATTTTAACACTAGAAATTGGGTTTTGATATCCGTGGTGGGCACAGCATATATAGCCCATTCTGTAGCTTAGTAACTAATATCAAAACAAATAACTAACAGTGTATCTTTTTTTTTTTTTCACTGCTCCGGTCAAAGTTCATGATTAAGAACTTAGTATTATTGTAATGTTCCTTAATGTTTATAATTTAGTTTTGTAATAAATTGGCACATCTCCAGAGGTGCATATAACTGAAAAAAGTCAGTATTGATATTTTAAATGACTTTTATTTTCCTTATTTTTGTACTTATACGAATACATACTTTTCACACCTTTTCAACTCTTGATCACCTAATAAATTCTAAAGCCAAACATGTTCAGATGAAATATATTCAATGACAACAGTCGGAAGAAGCATTTTATACATTGACAGTGAAATTTCAAGTTCTTTTATTCTAAACTGATTATTTTATCATTATAGAAACATTACCTGCTCCAAAATGGCCAAATAATATCCACAAAGTAAAGACTAAGTATAAGTGGTTCTGAGTTTTATTACCAAGTTTTTAAAAATGTGATATCTGGTATTCAGTGAAAAGATTGTACTGTTTTCACATCCGCCTAGTTTCGTGAGACTATTTATTTATTTATTTTTGTGTTACAGTACAGGGGCATTTTAACTGTAAAATGCACAGAATTGTGTTTCCTTAAGCCATAGTTTAAACCTTTAAGCTTCTTGTACAAGAAAATTCAATCAGTTTTTTTTTGTATTTTATTTATATCATATAGAGCATTGTTTGGCAGTAAAAAATTAATCATGACTTGCGAACGTTATATCTGAATGTAAAATAATTTAGGCTTAACCGCAACTTCCAGATTTATTTATATTGTTAAGAAAAAGGTACTGTACCA